TCACATATTCATGCAAGGAATTATGGTTATCTATTTGTGTGGCACTTTCCTGATTATTTGAAGTCGTTTTGAAACTCCACTTAAAATAACAAGCAAACTCTTCTCCAAGATTCCAGTCCTAGAAAGAAACATCTTTCATTTGACTTCTAAATAAATAGCAGGATGTATTGACTCAAAAGAAAAACATATCTTGCTTCAGTTGAGAAAAAATATAAACCTAAAAATATTTCAAATATCTTCAGATTCTTCAATCCTTAACCTCACACAATTTGAAAGAGTGAGAAGTTTCTTCTGTTCCTGCCCAGACTGCCACTATTCTCATTCAGGATTCTCAAAGCAAAGAATGATTGAGCTCAAGATCAAGGCAGGGGAAACACATCTGCATATGATGTCTGACAGCCTTGCCAGAGCTAAGTCAGAAAACTGAGCTATAGCCTGCCTGGACCTACTCATCTGAGGTCCCTTTATTGATGCTGATACTTCTGCTAAGTAGTTTCTATATTTTCTGCCAGGAAAGACAAGCATGTAACTTTCAGTAAAAAGAAAAAACCCAACAAACAAGAAAACAACCAGTTTTAGGAAGCAAATTAATAACCTTTTCAACTCAGATTGTACATAGACTAACCAAGTTAAAGCTAAGTTAGCAAATCACATTATTCATTTAAACAAATGTAACCATTGTGGATTGCATTCTGGAACCTTCTTACACAACTATTCTTTTCTCAATATTCCCATGTTAAGTAAAAGCCTTTTCTTTGTTCTGGGAAAGCAGCATTTTTAGTGCAACTTGATCCTTCTGAAAGTATATTGAAGACAGATTGTTTAAAAAAACTTGTGACATGCATGCTGGCCTTGTGACTTCAGGGGCCTTTGAGCTGGGGCTCCTTTTGCTGTGCAACAGTAAACTTCATGACTTGTTCCCTCTTCAACTGGTCACAAACAGCATAAATCAAGTGCTGGCTGAGACTCCAGAGAAACTTTCCCATGGGTCATGCTGCAAGAACTAAACAAAGTGCAAACCCACAAACCATGTTTATTCAAAATAGTTTTATCTGTAAATCATATTTCCTCAAAACAAATTTATCCAGCATCTTATTGAGTTCCTGTTCTGCACATGGGAAAGGAAGGGAATGGGGTTTCCTGTCCCACTACACCTGTGTATTCAGGGCATAGTTGCTTTGCACAGCAAATATCTAGAATTATGCATCCACTGAAAAGGCAGAGTCAGCGCTCGAGGGAGCATTTCTCATTCTTATGCATCACACTGGATATAATGGAGACATGAGACAGGAGGATGTAATATGTCACCTTGCCTTCTAGATTCTGGGTTTGCTATGGCTCAGAGAGTTTCAGCAAGACAACTAGTATTTAATTGAATAAGAGTAGACCTATAAATTTCATATGTTCACAATGTGACCTGTCCCCATTTACAGAATAAACAAAAAGGTACTTGACAGTGCCCCATTTTCATGCAAAAAATTGACAAGGTCTCTGTTACAGGCTTGCCATGCATTAGCTTTTGGTCTCTGCAAATCCCTACATATTTGGATATGGGCAAATCCCATGAGGCATTGAATAACAAAATGTGCAACTGTTTAAAAGTTATTCTTTTGTAACAACAAAAGTGCTTTACTGATCATTTGTGCCAAAACAGTGAACAAATACTGTCTCAGTTCTAAGTCCCAGATGAATCATGATTAAATTAGGAAGAAATTCTTTACTGTGAGGGTGGTGAAATACTGCAGCAGGTTGCCCAGAGAAGCTGTGGTTGCCCCATCCCTGGAAATGCTGAAGGCCAAGTTTTCTGGAGCTCTGAGCAATCTGATCTCGTGGAAGGTGTCCTTGCCCGTAGCAGGCAGGTTGGAACTAGATGATCTTTAAGGTCCCTTCCAACCCAAACCATTCTGTGATTCCATTATATGATCTTATTTATTAAACTTGGATATTGAAAGGACAATGGTAATTTTCTTATCCTCCTATCTTGAAAGGTTTATCCTTATGCCAAAGGCAGTGCAAAGGGCATTAAAACTTTCTTGATAGCATACAGCAAGACTCAGGGCTTTCTCAAGAGTGCAGTAGCTCACAGACAGAAGTGGAACTTCATTATGTTGTTTTCCCATTAAAAATGGAAACTACAAAGCCACCCAGAGAGTGCCCTGGCATTTATAATCAAAAAGGCAGAAGAAATTACAGTCATGAAGATCCTTCTTGACATAACAGCTTATAAATATTCCTAATAAAACACAAAATGTCTGGAGGGGATTTGAATTAATGAAAACTCATTTCCTATTGCTTAGGGGACAATTGGACAATGTAACTTCTCTCCTGCCCTCTTCCCAGACATACACAATATATTCAGCCTCCTCCCCTTTTCTCCATGTCATTTGTGATATCATGCCCCTTTCTGAATCCCCTAGCCCCCAGGACATCAGGGCAGAGCTGCAGCTGCTCTGGAGCTGTGCCCACGCTGATCCGCCAGAGGGCTGCAGTCCAACAATGCAGAGAATGCACCACCCCTCAGGGTGGGCACTGTTTTAGGCTGTCTCCTATGCTAGTCACTGCTTTTCACAAAACACACAGAAATTTAATTATCTCTGAGACTTATAATCCCTTTCAAATTTGGCTAAGATTGGCCAGCAGCTGGGAAATCTTATTACATGCACACAGACAGCGTGATCGTACAAACTTCATTTCTTTAGGAAACCAGGCTAATAGAACCAACAGTGAAAAATAGAGTAGATACATCAACAATAGAGCACAACATTCAGTTTCTGTTAAGTGTGAAGGAGTTCAAACAGGGAAAAAAAATACAAGAGGGAAAGAGAACAAATATTTCCTCTGTGGTGCCATTGCACAGATGGAAGAGGCTCAAAAATTACCTTCAGGTCTTTACTTTGGGAACTTTTTTACCTTCTCTTAATCTTGGTATATAGTCGGACCTGTTTCAGTCAGCTTCCTTGTAATGTAAAATGCCTGGCTGCAGACTACATGACTTGTAAGCCCTGCCTGGAGTTCAGCTCTTTTTTTTTTAAATCCCAAAGGAAAGGAGAAGAATCTTGGTATAATCAAAGATACTAAGATTGCTGCCTCCAGCCTATCTTTTGAGAGATTATTTTTCTTTCTTTTACTTGTTACCAATACCCATTTTTTAATTCCTATCCATTATGACATGTTCTTTCATATTTTAATCTTTTCCTTCTCAGTTTAGTCTTCAAATCTCACGTTATAACATAAAGGAAAAATAGATCTAGCATTACCCAGAAGAAGGCATGCTCTTTGGGAGTCATTAAGTAAATAACAGAGTAGGACATTTATCACTTCCATACTTGGGGTTTTACTGCATTTGCATTGATGCATTAATTGAATTTATATATTAAAAGAACCCCTCATATAGTCATCTGTTGTTAAAACTGTGCCTAGGCTGAGCACACTCATTTGTGCTCAATGACACAGCCTGTGAAAGAGGGCATGTGCATCTGGCTAAAGGCAAAGCCCTGCCACCTCTGCAGATAATGGCAAGGTTTCCAGGGGTGAAGGCAGGTGCTCTGATAGAGATGCTTGAGTAAGATGTTGGGGATCTTGGTGTGTCACACATTTTCCTTGGAGTTTATCAGGAAACAGTACACAAATGGGGGATAAAAGACACAAAGTGCCCTCGTTGCCTTTGCTAACCAGAGACCCTCCATCAGACTTTATCTTTTGCACTTTCCCTGTATCAGGTGGCTGTGTCCCGCCTGCAGTCTCTAATTCTGCTATCTGCAGACATGCTGTCCTTCAGGAGGTGGCTCAGGCCTGCCATACACTGTGCTCTCTTACTCACACCCTTTAACTAGCCTGGACATCTGTAACTTGGCTTCCATCAGCTTCTGGACTGCCTGACATGCTTGGTGTTTCAGATCAGTAAAGCTGCTAATGTCTGCCCACAGACCTGATGGGAGCTTGAGCTGGCATGTCCTGTCTCCTCTCACCAAGACCAAGAACCAGTGCAAGGCCCCTGAGCCCAGGGCTTGCCCAAAGCTTGTAGTGATGAAGAAACCCTTTTCCCACTTCCAGTACATGGAAAATCCAGTGGCAAGAATATCTGCTTTTTAACCATGCCTTGACTTTGGAGATGCTTGAACCGAACTCTTCCTGGTATTCGCTGGCTAACATACACATCCTCACCAACAAATCCAATTCAAGCTGTTGTATTTTATCAACTAAACACTTTCACACACATTAAATTCTCTTAGACTCTCCTCATTTTGCTTCTCAGTCTTCCTAACTCTTCAATTCCCATACTAGGGTCCTTTCATCAATAGAATTTCAGCCTAATGAAAAATTCCATGATGGGGAATATATATAATTACTTTTTTTTTACACTGAAAAGTGCAATTCTAAACAACAGTCACATTAATGGCTCATTAGGACAGTTGAAAAAAATGAATGGATATTTAATAGATTACAGCCAAGATATCTTTTCTTCAAAAATCCTTACAAATACTGACTTTAAATGAAATGTAGTTGAGCCTTCTTTGTCATAATTTTATATAGGTAAAAAATGAACAGCTGTACCTGGAAAAATATAGGTAGGTAGATAGATAGATACAGATATATAGATGGGATTTTTTTCCCTCCAACTTCAATACCATATTAAAATATTTATAGCATATCCAAGAATCTTTCGTTTAAAGACTTTTAAAAAATCCCTAATGATTTCACTATCCTTGCACTGAACTTAAGGAAGTACCTTGGATGTGACTCCTTGCAGTGAGTACCTCACACACAAGTCCACTGAGTTCTGCTGCAAGAGCAGCTATTCCTCTCTCCTCCCATTTGAAAAGCTTATATTTTAGACAGAATTTCTTCTTGAAAGGTATTAAGGACAGCCAGCCAGGACTGTAAGTTCTGTCAGGCAAGCTAAAGACACACAGACACACAATAGTGTCTGCAGAAAAATTCAACATTTGAACAATCTCATTGCTTCTCCATTCTGTACCAAAAAACTTACCAACGTGCCATTATTGAGGTAGTCCAGTATATCCAGGGTGGTAGATGTTATTAGGCTGTGTTCTGTTCTGCAGTCGGTCCAGGAAAGCATTATTTACCCTTAAAGTACAACAAAAAATGAATAATGATGGAAGGCAGCTGAGAAGTTCACAAACTACTGATATTAAACATTCTGTGAGTGGCTCTCCCTTCCCATCTGTTCAGTGCCCATCTTCCTGTATTTTTCAAGCAGCATAACCATGGATGGGCATGAGATCAGGTGGACTTAATTTTCAATTCACCAGATGCATCCTTATCCTGGGATCAGCCTGTTGGGAATAAGAGGCATGCCTTGGCTGCTGTTCATAATGCACCAAAATTCTCCATAGAAAGATGACCTGTGTACCACCACACACCTTTTTAGGGAGGTTACATATTTTGACAAGTCACCTTAGGTAATCTTTCAGCTTTCAGTGCTCAAGGAGTTTCTAGAAGTACTGATTTCCTAATAAAAAATGGAAGAACACACTTAAGCTTGTTACTAAGAGAGACAATTTATGCAGCTGACAACTTTCTCTTCCATCCAGCTGTGAAATTCTAGCATTTTCTTGCACTACTCTACCAATCTGGAAAGCATGGACAAAAACACAGTTTTCCTCAATCTGTTTTAAATATTTTCACACTGGGACTGTTCAGCATGCAGAGGAGAAGCCTGTGGGGTGACCTTACAGCAGCCTTTCAGTATTTAAAGTGGGCTACAAGAGAGATGGAGGGGGACTTTTTACAAGGGCATGTGATAAAGGGCAAGGGAGAATGGCTTTAGACTGGAAGGGGGTAGATTTAGATTGGATATTAGGAAGAAATTCTTCACTATGAGGGTGCTGAGGCACTGGCACAGATTGTCCAGAGAAGCTGTGCATGCCCCATCCCTGGCAGTGTTCCAGGCCAGGCTGGATGGGGCTCTGAGCAGCCTGGTGGAATGGAAGGTGTCCCTGCCTATGGCAGGGGGGTTGGAGCCAGATGACCTTTAAGGTCCCTTCCAACCCAAATCATTTTATGATTCTCTGGAAAACTGTGTATTTTTCTCCTTGTTTACTGCTTAGGACTGATACACGCTTAGACATGGCTGTTGTTTTAATGCTCTACAATTGTGTTGGTAAGAATGAGATAAAAAGGAAAATAGTGGGTTATTTCTGTCTCTGCATATGAGATGGACTGAATCAAAAATCCTTCATTAACTTCTATGGGTAATTATTTCAATCTCTTTGCTAGAGAAAAAAAAGAAATGAAAGCAGTCTGAAGAGTAGTTGCCTACAGAAGTAGGCATTTTTAAAAATATTTAAATAATGATTTAAAAAAAAGAAACAAACATTGTTTTCACTTTTGAGCCTAAGCATTGTTTCTTTTTACCAGTAGAACACAAAGCTGAGAATAAAGCTGTGCTTCAGGATAATGAAAAGCCAGTTAAGTGACAGAAGTGCAAGATGAGAAGTGTGGAGCACAGAGAGGTCACAGCAGTGGGGCAGAGCCTGGGGCACAAAGAAATGCAGCTGCAGAAGGCCTTGCTGCACTGTAGGTTCCATCTGAATCGATACCAAGTCCCAGGTTTAGCTCTGCCTGCTAACCTCAGAGACAGTCAGCCACAAGCATGGACAAAGTAGACCGTTCTAAAAGAAATAAAAATATAGATATAAAAATATATAGATATCTAGGTTCATAGACAGACACACACAGATAAAGTGTGTATCCTCCAAAAAACTATTAATTGCTTCTACTCTATGCTGTGTCCTATGCTGATAGGGCAAAAAAAGTGAGAAAGGCACTCTGGGTCATTCTGCATGCAGTGAGCAGCTGTAAAAATGGATATTAGTGGCTCATAGTGGAAAGCAAAGCTAAACCAGAGATGAGGTCAGGGATCCTCATTGCCATAGTCTTCTGAAACATGAATGCCTGTATTTTGAGACCCTTTCCACGTGGAAATTCAATTCCAGTGTATTTTGCATTTTTTTTGCATCTTACCTCCTCTGTTCATTTTTTAGTGTTCTTGTCCTGGTTTCCTCTTCCTGCTTTTGTTTAAATTCCAATAATTCAGCCTGGCAATGATAAAAATGAAAAACAAACAAATAAATAAATAAACTAACTTACTTTTAATTAACATACTTATGCTGTAAACCTTATTAATTCTACATGATGTTAACCTCAGTTAAAGTCAGAACTTCTCTCAGCTGCATTTTCCTTATGCGACAGCACAATGTTAAAAACTGAGCTGGTTTTTCTGTTCAGTATGTGGATATTTTTTTGTTTGTGCCTTGAAAAGTGGGAAGTTACAGGATTCAGACATTTAGAGTCCTACATTTAAGGGGGTATGCCAGACACCAGTCTGCTTCCCCTTGTCCCAAAACACAGATTTGAATTTCCCAGTGGGTCAGAAGGGGATGAAAGCCAAAGTGAGGAGCAGACACAGCTGTCATGCCCACAGAGTAAGAAGGAGCCATGTCCTTCACCTCCTGCCTCTGCAGAGTGCAAGCAGAAGATGAGATCTCGGCTATGTGATGTGGTGTGTCACCTCCAGCTCCCTAGGGCTCCCTTCAGGGTGAGGAGGGAAAATGGAGCTTGCTGAAAATGGTGTGCTGGGAACATACACAAGCCCCCAGCATTGCAGCCTTATGTAGTATTAAGGTGCATAAACAGTGTCAAAGGGAATTCGTTTTGGAGGAGAGTTTGCTCATGCAGTTTTAGCCAAAACTGTGAAGGAAACACAACTGGCATGACTGTGGTCTGTATGTGTGGTTGTTTGTCCAGCTCCTTCTGCGTGCAACGCACCCAAGAGATTACAGATCTTTGTGCAAAGGAGATTTGGGCTTGCAGGGCAAGGGGGAAGGCATAGGAACAGACCCATCTTTCATGTTTTCCATAGCAACTGCACAGCAGTAGGAATAGAAACTAAAATAAAATGATGTACTTAGATAAAAGCTTGAATAACTGAATGGAACCACATGACTGGGTTTTTTTTAAAATCAATTTAAGTGGAACATTAAGTAAAAACTATGCAATAAATGTATGGAGAAAATCAATAACTGAGAATGTGTTGTGTATCAATATTTGTCTAGCCCTAAAAGAAGAAGCAGTATTAAGAAATAAAAAAGCCAACCTCAATTTTCACTATTTTAAATAACTATTCAACCTGAAAATTAAAACTCAGTATCTGACTTTCCAATATGCCGACTCCTCTCTTGGAGTAATGTTCTGAAATATATTGTGTGTATATGATGCAGTGTTGAAAGTGTACTGAAAATTTCTAAATCAAGCAATACATACTAAAACCTGTTCTGAAGAAAAAAAGGGAACTGACAATACCTACACATTTTATAGCTACACTGTGCTAGGAGGTACACACAAGACAGAATTCACAATTACTTTAATAAATATTAGTTTGAAGTAGAAACGAGCCAACATATATCTGAGGGACAATTATTGGAGCCCTTAAAATCCATATTATTTACAGTGGGTTTGTAAGTAGTGCATTACTCTGCACAATAGGTAGCAGCAACTGTGAAGGCAAGGAGACCTTGGAACCACATAACAAACAAGAGCAGCCTTAGAAGCAGCCAACACCTCTTTAGCAACCCATGGAAATTGCTGAAGAGTCTACAGCTCTACACAAGTCCCTTAAACCAAACCCATAAATTAGGGGCGTGTTAATTTACATCTGTAGTCATTTTCTCTTTGGAAGGATCCATGTACAGACTACAACGGGAACCAGCCTTACATCCATCCAGGCTGGTTTTCAAAATTTTTTCCTATGTATAGGTTCTGAGAACAAGCATATACCTGATGGGATAGCAATGAAGAGACTCCCTTGTGCCCCACTTTTTTTTCCCCAGTATTATAGTTATTAGAATACTGTGAAATAAGGACACATCCCCAAAATGTAAAGAAAGATATCAGTGATAGGGAATAAGTAACTTCTCCAGTTCTAGAAGAAACAGTGTATGGAATTTGTTGTGCTAAAATTCTCCCATTGGGGAAGTAGCTTAACATTAATTTGGATGTTAGTAACAGCAGAGGCACAGCAAGTGGCTCAGCACTTGCTCGCATATTTTCAAATTATTTGCAAGATTTTCAAGTGCTGCCCTCCCTGTACTTTCACAGTCAAACCTGCAGCCAAGACAGGTAACTTTGCAGAGTGTCATCACCTTTGGTAGATGGACTTTATCTGGATATGGTACCCAAATCTATACCAGAGGGACTACACATTTCAGGCAATGCATGATGCATATGCAGAATATGGAGTTCAAATTTGCACTTATGGAATGCCTACTTTTTAGACAATTCAAAACTCTTTAGTTAGGTAGTCAGAAAGGGCACAGAGAGGCATACTATAATTAACAGGAAATCTGAGCATTTCCACATCCCATTTGAAAAAGCAGGGCCCATGGCCCTCAATTCTCTAGAAAGACGACAATTCAGAAAGATCATCCTAAATTCCTCAGTAAGACGACTTCTGCCTGCAAGAGAGTAAGCTGGTTTCCTTAGCCTATGAAATCGGTTGCCATAGTCAAAAAGTCTTCTGCACAATTATTCAAGTGAAGAGGTGAAAAGGAGCTCATTTTTCAGATGCAAACAGCATTGAACTCAGAAGATAATTGTCCGGTCCCTGTTCAAATTTTACAGCTTGACTCATCTCTCTCACAATATTTGAAAACAGTGACTGAATCACTTTTGCTAAAGAGAAGCTCTGTGCGTAGGCTACAAGTAATCAGTGTATTTAATTGGTTTCACAGCATGCAAAAATGATACAATATGTAAACTGTTAATGTATAATTACCTTCCTCTGTTGTTCTTGCTTCATTTCCTCTAATCTTCTGTTTTCATCCTCTCGAAGAGCTTGCTTATAAGCATGGCTTCTTTTCTATTGTTCAGCAGAAAATAAAAATATATTAGTGTGGTGAGAGCAGGGCCAAACTCCCAAACCTTATTCTCAAATTGTTATATGGGTAATTAACAAACACAAATGGCTGAATGATTCCAGTTACTTAAGAAACAGATTAGTCTCAAGACTAGAATTTAAACAAGAAGTGGCCTAGAGCCTCTCAGTCATTCAGTTTGGTTGAATGTCCACTTGTGCATTACACTCAGGTAGTCACAGCAAGTGCTATTCTGTGTCCCAGTGACAACCATAAAGATATCCTGAGCAGTCAGAAAACATAGTCAGGATATATGCTAATGAGATGGGGTATTCTGGGAAGAAAGAAAAGTAATGAAAATATAACCAAGATTAAAAAGCAGAATGGAAGCCTTGTAACAGAGGGAACACGGGACTTTTTTTGTGGAGGTAGGGCAACAGGAGAGATCAAACCAGCTATTATTTGTGAAGCATCAAGAAAATTGAAAATGTGAACTACATATCATGAATAATGTAATAAATGTGCAATAGGTTTTAATTACAATAACTAGCCCTGGTCTTTCACAAGTTGCAATTGTTTGCAAAAAGCCAACCTACAATTAGGGTCTTAGAGGATCCTTAGGATATTGTACACTGGAACTTCTACTGTAAAGTCTTTGAGCAGAGATGTAGGGTAGCACACTAAAAAATGAGCCAGTATAATTTAATACAAGAATTGTGCAGTTTGACTTAAGTGAGGGATTTGTTGCAGGTCTACAGACTATTTCCAAAATTTGATATATGCATGCAGAATGACACCATTAAAACAACAGGCACATAATTTGCTAAAAAGACTGAATAGAGAAAGCAATTATTAATAGCTCAATTTTGAGCTGGGAGAAGTTGCTACATGTGTCCAGGGAGACTCATTCTGGGTCTGATATTATTCATTACTCTCCGTAATGGTTTGGAGAATTGTGTGGAGAATATGTTAATCAAATTGGAAGACAATAAAAATCTACACAGGATTGGTCACACTTTGAAAGACAGGATTAAAATTAATTATGAGCTTGAGTAAATAAGCAGGCCCAAAAAGTCATCAATGACAGAGACACTCAAAAGAAGTCAAATTTCTTCATGGATGTGAAGTAACATTTGGCAAGGATAGTTGAGCTAGGTGTGCTAAATTAATATCACTATCCAAGAAATTATGTGAGGGGAAAAAAACTTTGATCTGCATCACATTGTCCCAGACTGTTTCCAGAACAAGTTTTTCAAATTTAAAAAAATCACATACAAGTATGTATATTACCCCTTTTAGCATGCACGTTAGGCACGTCGTAAGCTTATCACAGTTCACTATTTCAAATACATTGTTCCTGAATCTTTTAATTACTTCAGACAAAGGACATGTTCAAGGTAACATCCAAATTAGAGTCCTAGTTTTCCTACTGGTTTAGCACTTTGGTGCTATGCCAAGTTTATTTAGATAAGAACTCACGGGTTACATCCTTTGGATTCCTGGCTCAGAGGCTGTGCCTATGACTATAGACTGGACCTCATCCAAAGTGATTGGGAAGACTTTGCTAACGGCATTGCTGCATTACAAACAAGTGATTATTGGATTCACAAAGCTACAGAAATGCAGCCACACAAAAGACAAGTATCATGTCAGCTGGTACTAAAGAACAGTACAGATAAATGATGTATTTTATCTGCTAGGACACTAGCAGAGTGAAAGATGAACTATGAGATGTAATTTGACACAACTCTTTGAGAAATCTGTCAAAAGCAGGACCTGTACAACTGAAATAGTTCAGTGCTCCTTCAGCCATCCACCCACTTTGGTATGGATGTGAAGACAGCACACCAAAATGCTGAAATCCAAGTCAGTCATGGGGACATGAGCTGACTCATCTTCACAGTTCAGTGCTCACATCGTATGAAAGCTGCAGAGCTAGGCCTTCCCTACCAAAGAGCTAACTCCCACTGTTTGAAGTGTTGGATGCTCCAAGAGGGAGGCAGAAGTGGTTTCAAGACATCTTTTGTCCCTTTCCATATCCCTTCATCTTGGTTGTTCACCCAGGACTACCAAATACATTCTGAAAGCCGCTCTCCTATGATTGACATTCTGTCCAACAGTGCTGGGCAGAAATTGGCACTTTCTAGCTATATATCTGCCCACACTTGCTAAAATGTCCTTAGGGTTTTCAGAGATACAAGATACCCTGAAGAATTAAAGGGGAATGAGACCTATTTTCAATATCAGCTTCCTTTTCCTGAAATGAAAACCAGGAAGAAATACTAGAGGCAAGACAGATGTGTCATATATCCTGTTGGCATCAATTTCTATAAAGGGACGATTTTTTTTCCATTTCTAAGTCATCTGAAGAAATATGGAGGCAAATCTTCCCTTCCTGTTACCCAACAGTTGGTGCTCAAGACTGTATACAACAGAGGGCTGCCCAAATACTTCCAATACTTCTGCTCAGTTGCTTCCAATGTTAATTTCCGTCTGCTTGGCTCCCTGTTCTCTGTCCTTCCCCAATTACAAACCTCCCTACAGGAGAAATACTTCTCTTTCAGGGTTAATACTCCTCACTGAAACTTTCTACATTAGTAGGAAAGCTTGGTTTAGACATGAAGAGACTAATTGTATGTGGAAAAGCCTCTTAGATTCAATAAGAATAATTAAATTGAAGCAATACTTTATCTATTTCCCAATCACACTAATACTTACCAGACTACTTCAAACTGGGACAAAGACCCCAAGCAGTGTATGGAATCACTTTTAGGATGCAGTGAGAAACAAGCTTCTCTTTTGACTGAATCTTTAATGCAGTAAAGCATCTGCTGACATTAACTTATTGAGATTTCATAAAAGCTTACCACCAGTGGATGGGTACAGGGCATACTTAAGATTCCCACCTAACTTTAGAATATAAATCTGGTTCTCATTTATCAGAAAGAGATCTGTGAGTAGTCCTCTACTATGTGGAATACCCTGCCAGTGTGGAAGAGACAAGGTAGGCAGACTCATTCACCCAGAAAGGCTCCTTGGTACTCACTGAGTTGGGTCTCAGCAATTAAGCTCAATTAGGATATTCTAACATTACACTATTGACAGCACCTGGAAAGCTGATAGAAAATACAGCACACACTATGATTTTGCTTACCCATGCTGTAGATGCTGGGCCAGGATTAGCAATCTGACAGGAATCATTCTTTGGCAAACCCACATCCAATCTGTTCAGTAATTCATTGGTTTTGCTATGAAGAAATTCAATCCAAATAGAATTGTTAGTGCCTCCATAAAAATAAACACAGCTTTTTATTCCACCCTTGGAATCTAGCCTAGACATTTTATCATGTCTCTGCTGAAAAACATCACAGGTAGAAAAAAAAAGGTTATGGAAACAGACAAATGGGACAGAGGATACAGAGCGCACACTGTGGATAAGACATTTGCTGGGATGATTTTTTAAACAAACAATTATGGTCATTTGCATATTTGGGGTGTACAAGGGCTATGCTTTCCTCATTGTAAAGCTTCTGTACAACAGACTCACATATCACTGGACTTCATGAGGATGCCAACTGCTTCACGGAATTGTTGCAAATCCTTCTACGAGATCTATAAATCTCAACTAAGTACTTTAAAAGATTATTTTCAGGAATTTTCCTTCACAGTTAATACAATGCAGCCTTACAACAGATTATCAAGCAGAAAGTCTTTCAAGCATTTTGTAACAAGAAAAAAAATGCTTGTCTTTAGTTAATGCACAACATTTTCATTTCTTATTCTGGCAAGGGCAATTTTCTTTTTCCAGCTGCATGCCTAACGAACCCAGAGTTTCAAAGTAGCATCACTTTGCTCACAGTTCTACCAAGTACAATTAAACTAGGTCACAAACAAAAACAAAGGATGGGAGTTTGTGTGCTGTGGTGAGGAATCAGTTTCTTAACCTGCACACCCAGGCACGTATATTGAAGTCTTTTCTCACTCAAAGGAACAGAGTTAAAGTAAAGAGGCAATTTCATTTCTGTGTACAGCTTTGGAAAATATGAAAGCACTGAAGTGAGAGCAGAAAAAGTGCTTCAATAGATATTGAAAGCAAAGATTTACTCTTCTCACAGGGCACCCAACTAGCTCTGTGCAGGGGAAGATGCCACTACCAAAGACTTAAACTTAGAGAAAAAGCATTGGCTGCCAAAGACTGATTCTGATTAACAGCTGAAACAGACTACCAAGTGGGTTTTATATTTCACTCCATGATCTAAAACTGTGAGTAAATACTTTATTGGTAAAATGTCCTGCTGGTCAGTGAGGAGTGATATATTGAGAAGTTGGGAAAAGGAACAAGAAACCACAAGCTCTTCTCTGCTACTCTACACAATACAAAACCATGTTACCACTTCAGGTACAAAGTACTTGCTCAAATTCTAGCAAGTCAGGCTTTTAGAGTCTCACCACTCCCAGTTCACTCCCTTTCCTCCATTACTTGGGTAGTTAACAGACCTTGGACAATGCACAATAAGGAAAGAACCAGATGAAACACTGTTTTCCCTGATCTACAAAGTACTTGTACTTAAAGGTTGAACAAATTAATAGTCTTCTTATACAAGTGTTAAGCACTCATTTTTTTTCCATGAAAGATGAGTTATTAAGTGGTAAGATTGCACAGAGTAATTTTGGGAACGTGAAGATTTAAATTGCAGATTTTGTGTTTCTCTACCTATGCTAAAACTGATCAAATAACAATTTATTTCTATACCAGGAAGACTAAGAACTCCTACAAAAAATCTGGAGTATATTTGAGAAGGTTGAAGCTCTGTGAAAAAATATGGGGCAACTTGGTGCTATAACTAGTTGCTCTAATTCCTTATTGATGACAAGAGAATTAAATGGAGTATGTGGAATTTCTCATTATTTGCATAAAAATGTGGTGGAGGCCATTGAATTTTGCAGATCAGCAGACTGATAGGTGAAAAGCTTACTCAGTTTTAGCATCAGAAAAGAGGATTACAAGAGTGGAAGCAAATAAAGTTCCTCAACAAGACTGTGCATTGCCTTTGAATAAACACCTGACTTCATCAAATTAAGTAATACATTACTGAAGTGTTCCTATCACAAGAAAGGAACTCAGATTTCTGAATTTTCTGATGGAAGACAAGTGAGGTCTTATATATATTAATCTGTTGTGTGTCATCTCTGTGGAAGCCTAGCAATGCACCTGGGGTTGCCAGACAAAGTCTGAATGGTATTTTTCATAATACTAAACCTGCAGTCATAACAATGCAGAGTGTAGCTTAAACCAGGCTCCACGAAAAGAGAGAATTCAGGGAGACGACTGTTCAATTCATGTTCTAGAAAGGAAAGTAGTATCTCCAGAAGGAAACCAGCATATCAGTACTCAGACAGCTGGAGCAACATCTCATTCACTCGTTAAAACTTCAAGGGCTAATCAAAAATGCTAAAAAGTGCTCCTCTAAACTTAGCAACATTAAGGAAAGAATAGCATGAGATTAAGAAATTTACTTGAATACAGCAGAATCTTGATACCCTCCAAACACAGCTAGGTAAAAGGAGATACAAGATTTAGACTAACCAAGAAGGCACCCTCCTAACAGGCTGCTAGCCTGAGTTCTGACTACCCCTAAGCATCGGTCTGAAAAGCAGAGGACCACTGATACTATGGTTAAGCTGGGGTGATCTTATGAGGGTATTTTGTCTTGGTAGCCCTGTCTCCCATTACAACATTGGGAAAAATACCTTTTGCTGTGCTAATTAAAACAGCTTCCTCCCATACTGGTGTGCTTAATAGCACCAAGCACTACTCTTAGCATGGCAACTCAGCATCTTCAGTGTGGTAACTATTTCTGGAATAGTTCTGACCTGTCCCAAACAGCACTTTTGCAAATAACTCCTGGGTTCTGTCCAGGAATGAATATCAACTGCAGCTCCCAATAGGCATTTTAGATGTTACCACACCATTTTGGGAGGTAAAGAAGTTTTCTAGCAATGGAAGCAGGCACTCTGAGGCCTGTTGGCCTCAGAAATGACAGTGATTGACAGTGTTAAATTTATCAGTACAGATACAGAGGTGGGGGAATGAAGCACAAATACTGGATTTGAGGTCTGAATAACTCTTAAGAGCTGTCAGGGGAAAATACTAACTCTGCTGGCAGGGCCATTGAGTAACATGCTAGAAGGGGCTGGTGAGGACCAGTGGAAATCAGTCCATGGTGCAGATGCTCTCTGTGGGTCCTTGGATATACAGCTTTACATTCCACAGCTACTCTTCAGGCAGAGGCCTTAAAAAAAAAAAAAAAGAAAAAAAAAAAAAAAAGCTGCTATGCAAAACCCTTTATTTGAAGCTCAACAAGTACGTGTAAAGTGCACAATCATGAATTTGCTAGGTGTTCCACTGAGAAAGGTGTAATTCAGGCAGCCTGCACTCACAAGCTCTTTGAGAGCCCACATGCATTTCCTCCTGTTTGGGACTAATTGCCACCTACATTCCCACTAGGATGAGATGAGGGGATGGTTATGAAAGCCAGAGTGGGCTAAGGTTCCTCTGGCCTCTGTAGGAGTTCACATGATCCAACAGGATCACCAGCCCTGACAGCTGAGAAGCAGACAACTCCACAATTGACTCCAGAATGCAAATGTGAAAGATCTGATGACCCACAATGATCTTGTTGCAAGATCCCAGGTCTAAATTCCTCTGCAAAATAAGGTCTTCAATTTTGTGTGTCTATTGCTTTTAACTACTGTCACATCCACAAGGATAACAAAAGTGTTTAAAAGGATTCATCCTTAGGGACATGAATGAGGATATGGACTCAGGTGCCAGAATTTTCCTCCATCCAGGAGTCGCACAGCACCACTTGCTAAGCTTTTCATTTGAGACTGTATTCCTCTCAGAACGAAGACAGAAAGAAAATAATTTTTCTGCCTACAAATAAAGTTCTCAGCTTTAAGTCTTTTTTACAGACTAACATTAAAAATGCATTAATTAAAATGGTTCTTGTAATCTTCATTAATTTTCCCCAATGGAACCAGTGGCAGTTAATTCTTTTGCTTTAATTGATGGATATTGAAATGCCAGTATACCAAAAAATATACTGGCTTTTATGCCAGTATATTTGGGAAAAAAAAGGCAGCACAATACTTTTTTATGTATCATAAATCTATTTATTTCTCTTGACAATTTGTAAAATATAATGGCTAATTCTTACTACTACTGAAAACAAGACAGCTCATCAACTTCTTGTTTTCTCAAGCTGCAGGATCTCCACCATTACAATTCTGCTCTAATGAACATCCACAAATATGCTAAAAACATTCAAAAATAGTAATAAAAAAAATCAAAATAAAGAACTCCAAAGCAGATAAATCATCATAGCCATTGCAAAGAGTAGACAATTTGAGTAGCCACTAAGACCACAGAAGAAGCATTTAGTGCTGAATGACTTGGACTCATAAGCTTCCAAAATAATTGCCTGTGAGTGACTCTTCACCATTTTCTTCCAACTCATCTAGAAAGCTAAGAAGCAGGCATACTGCTTATATAATGCTAGTTTCACACATCTACCCAGAATTTTCATGATAATTTTTAAAAATAGCAGGAGTTGCCCTCCCTGAAAAGAAAAACAATCCAACAACAAAAACTCAACCCCAAATTTAATTCAAGACATCTTTCTGCAGCACCAGCAATTATATCTACAACTTCTTCTCACTCCAACATACTTAATTGGCTAAGCATAACAACTTCCTCAACTTTTGCAGAAATTAAGAGCAGTTGCATAAGCATGCAAAGGCTTACCCAGAAGAAATGCTGCCCTTCATTTCAGTAAGGTCCATGGTGGCTGTGTTTTCACTGGTGCCCTTGTTCCTTCCCCAGTGAGAGCTTTGCCTTGTGCATTGCCATGTGCATCTTGGTCAGGCATTTGCTGTCACCCACAAGGTAGGCTGGCTGGTACTGGGGCCACTGGCCTAGCAAAACCAGATGTTAAAATAGGAGAAGCTCTCCAACACTTTCTTGGTTGGAAGATGGAGAAAGTCCCTCCAAAGGGAGGTGTAGCTGTGATTTTTGCTACTGAAAACAATTTGGTAACGTGGGAATGAAGCTGGGGGCCAATAATAGTGTTTGTGAAAATAATCCCACCAAAGACACATGACTTTTGCTAGTACACAGTTACATATGCTTCCTCTCACATCCCCTCCTCCTTGCAGAGGTGTACCACAGCCAGTTTACTCAGTTTAA